AGGTTCCCGGGCAGGGAGTAACCTGGAGCCAAGGACACCTGGAGGAGATGCAGAAAGCAGCGAGCGCCCCGTCCCCACCCTTCTGGAGCTGTCTCATACCATGGCGACCACCAGCCCCACACACAGACCACAGACCTAGTAGCATCCACACATGCAGACAGAGACACACAAACCACACACAGACACACAAACAGACCCACATACGACACAAGAAAATACAGACACAAGTAACATACACACGCCACACTCACACCCACATAGACACATAGTAACAAATCACAGAGACAAACACAGACACACAATCACATACACAGACACTCAAATCCACCTCCTGCGGAGTAGCTAAGGAACAGAGCTTAATTCCAGGGACCTGTGAGTGCCACGCCCCAGAATCCTGCAGACCTCAGCACTTGAGGCCAGCCCACCTTGGTGACGAAGTCTTTCTGGGAACACAGATTGTCAATGTAGCTCAGGAGGTCGGGGTCTGAAAGCATCCCGTCCTCTTCCTGCTCCACTTCGCCCTCTTCCCTTTGTCCTGTGAGCTGCTCTGTGGCCCCATCGGGAGGCCCCAGCAGCTCTTCCACGATGTCCACATACTCCTGCACCACTTCAGGGGGTATCTCCTCAGGGGCCTTGGTCTCCACTGGCTGCTGAGGCCTGGGTGGTGGCAGGTGGGCCTTTGTCTCCGCTGGCCGCTCGGGCCTGGGTGGTGGCAGACAGGCAGGCGGGGCCTTGGGGCCGGCCTTGCTGGGAAGGTACACTGAGGCAGGGAGGGAGGAGGACAGGTGTGGTGAGGGCTGCTCCTCCTGCCTGCACCACACAGGGGAGGGCAGGGCTTGGGGACGTGAACTGGGTCCCAGCTGGGTCAGGAGCACCTGAACCGCAGTGCCCCAGAGGAGACGCCACAGGAGGGGCACATGTGAGACAGCATCTTTTGGAGGAAGTTTGGAGCCACTGATAAGCTGAGTGCTCTACCCGCTCATCCCCGTTCCTGGGCGGACTGTATGTTGACTTTTGGAATGGGGAAGGGAGAGTAGCTAGGAAACGTGACCAGGTGAATACCCACTTCATGACCACGGACCGCCCAGCTCCCCGGGTCCCCTGAGCTGTCTTGTTGGAAGGAACAAATCCCTCTGTTGAAGGGAGGCATGGGGTATGGGGACAGTGGCCTCCCTTGGCCCCTCTGGGCTTTGCTGTGGCTCCTGTGGGAATGTGGGAAGCCGTACCTGGCTGCTTGACCACCTCAGGGGCTGATGGTCCTTGAGGTTCAAGCCTCGGCGGGGCTGGAGGAGGCAGGCACTGGGGCCCCTTCATCCACTGCAACTTCTGAATCTGCATCTCCTCCTCAGCCTCAAACTCCAGGAACCTGGGGTGAAGAAGGTGCAGGCCGTGCTAAGAGGGTCCAGGCCCCCTGCCACCAGGACCAGGCAGCAGCCGATGGCAGGAATGGGAAGGAGTGCCTCGGGCGGGCTGTCCAGGCCCTCCCTGGGGCCTGTCCCCCAGTCCCAGGAGGGAGCTCCTCCCAGAGTTCTGGGCTCACTGCCCCTCACCGGGCCCCTGCAGAGCCCATGGCATCAACAGGACTTCCTGACTCAAGTCAGGGCTACGAGGCCCAGGAGGGCACCAGGGGGACCCCTCCTCCAGGCTTCAGCTGGCCAGGGGTGGGGTTTATGGCAGAAGGCGTCAGGAATGTTGCCCAGATGCCGGAGTCCTGAGGTTGGGACTGTGGGTCCCTGAAGGATAACCCAGGAGCACCAGACCTGGGAGACCCCTGGTGGGGAGGAAGCAAAACCTGGGCCCCGAAGACAGGCCCCTTTCCCCTGAGGCTGCTGTCTGTCTGTCTTAACAGAGGGGACTGCCCAGAAGCAAAGGCAGGCAGGCCAGAGATGGGTCTCATGGTGTCCTGGACGCAGGTCTCCCCTGACCCAACGCAGGTTTCTCCAATCCTGGCCAGGCCGGGATGGGTGAAAACCGACTTCTGGTCACTGCTGTGAGGAGAGTGCACCCCGCTCTGTCTATAGTCGCCAGCGCCCCTTCTCCCCATCCCCACAGCTGGTGGTGACCACCTTTGGGCTGCGATGCTGGCTGCTCCCTCCATGACCCCCAGCATCAGGCAGGGGTTGTCCCCAGGCCAGGCAGGGCGTGGCTTCCCACCAGGGCAGGATAGAGACCCCAGAGCACTCTAGGAGGGAGGAGCAGCTTCCTGAGGGAGCCAGGGGCCCAGGAGGGCCTGTTTATCCACACCCTCCTCACGCTCCATGCTGAGAAGTCACCGTGGCCACTGGGCCTCTGTCACACTCTCTCACCCTGCCATGAGGACTCTGCCCCTGCACCCCAGACTCACTTTCCCGCCATCTCGTAGTAGATCATCCGGTCAAAGTTGCTCGTGTGCTGCCATTCCCGCACGGCCCGCCACAGTCCCTCCTCCAGGGTCATGCTGGGCTTCTGCCGGGCCAGGGATCTGAGAACTGGGCTGTAAGGCGGTGCAGTCAGTCCCAGTCCATAAGCCCATTCTCCATCCCAAGCCCACCTGGTCCCAACACCCCGCCCCTGTCCTCCCCACATGTGTCCTGCCATGTGTCCCTGTCTTGTTCTCCCCAGCGTGGGCTCCTCAGCCTCCAGGACACGCCCCCAAGATCAAACATCAACAGAAGCCAGTGGGTGGCCTCTCCGACTGCCCCTCGAGTCCTCAGTGTTGACAAGTGAACTCAGTACTTTGGGTGGCACGTGTGTGTCCCCAGCATTCCTGTGTTGAAGTCCTCAGTCCCGGTGTGTCCGTTCTTGGAGTCAATCATGGTTAGAGCAGGTCATGTGGGTGGGTTCCTGTCATGGCATCTGAGCCCTGATAAGGGCAGGAGGAGACACCAGGGCTCTCCCTCTCAGCCTGGGACTTCCAGCCTCTGGAGCTGGGAGACGTGAATGTGTCCTGATAAAGCACCCAGTCTATAGGATTTGTTATGGCGGAGCCCGATCTGACTGAGACAGCACGCACACAGAATGACCGGGGAGCGAGGGTTAACATGCAGGTTCTAGGGCCCCAGGACTGACCATT